ATCACATTCTGAGGTACTGGGGGTTAGGACTTCAACATATGAATTTGGGTGGGACATAATTCAACCCATAAAATACCCCTAAGCCTGAGAGGAGATGGAAAAGGAGGTGCTGTGGAGCCTAGCTGAGCGCTAAAGGCCAGCAACAGCTGTCATTCATTAGAGAGGGCCACAGCTGTGCCAGCCGCACACGGAAGTAGGAGAGGCTGGTGAAATAAACATGGCTCCAACCTCTCTCATGTCCCACTCTCCAGGCACCAAACTCAATCAGAAGACAGAGGACCAGGGAACCAGCTGATAGCATTTGGGGAAGTCAGTGTTCTCCCAGCACAGGCCAGAGAAAGGATGAGAATGGATTGGGTGGGTGGGTGGGTGGGGGTGTGGGGGTGTGTGTGTGTGTGTAGGCAAGACCCTCTCCCCTCTCCCCTCTTCCCCCTCCCCTCTCTCCTCCCCTCTCCCCTCTCCCCTCTTCCCCCTCCCCTCTCTCCTCCCCTCTCCCCTCTCCCCTCTTCCCCCTCCCCTCTCTCCTCCCCTCTCCCCTCTCCCCTCTTCCCCTCTCCCCTCTCCCCTCTCCCCTCTCCCCTCTCCCCTCTCCCCTCTCCCCTCTCCCCTCTCCCCTCTCCCCTCTCCCCTCTCCCCTCTCCCCTCTCCCCTCTCCCCTCTCCCCTGCATCTTTGTACAAGCTGTTGTCACTGCCCAGAAGTTTCCTTCACATCTTTTTCCCTCTGGTGAACTCTTAACCATCCAATGTTTAACTAAAGGTTGCCTCTGCTGGAAAGCCCTCCTCGATTTCTCCATGAAGTGAGATACTCAAGTTGGAAGGCCTTTTGTACCTGCCTATATTTCCATGCTTAGCATCCTGTGTCAATACCTGTTTTTCCCACCAGAGTTGGAACACCTGCAGATAGGGACTATATTCTCTACTGCTCCTAGCACAGAGTAGGCACTTAACAATATTACTGAATAGTTGTTCAGTACCTCTCCTTGGGCTTTCTTTCAATTCGCACAATGACCTAATGAGGTTGGTCATATTTGTATCTCCCTTTTACAGATGCAGAAACCGAACTTCGAGAAAGTAGAGTAACTTGCCCAAGTTCACACAGCTTTGGGAGGATCTGAACCCAGGTGCTGTGTCCTCAGACTGAACTATCTTAACTGCAGTGTTATACTGTTTGTTGATTCAGCGAATCCATGGACCTCAGGCGCTCTTAAAGTGATACCTAAACTGACAACTAAGGGTAAACTTTTGGGTTGTGTTTTTCAACAAAAGATAACATATCTTACCAGGCTGGGACAATAAAGAGCAAATGATCTTTAATATCACAATTTCTCTCTCCCCAGAAATTAGCCAGTATGTATCAGTGAAAGAGAATTGGCTAGCCAAACAATTTCCTCGTTATTACCATACAAGGCAGCTTAAATTAAAACTACAGTTTCTTGTTCACACAATGGACATGCAGGTTGCCTAGCAAGCCACAGTTCATGAATGTGTTACAAGAGTACTCACAATACAGGCAGCCAGTTGCCCTGTGGAGTGGCCAGGGAAGGCCTGCCCTAGTTTCAGCCACCCATCCATCTCCCTGGGCAAACCTGCTCCTGCCATCGGCACTCCTCCCATCAGAGCTGCATCTGGGATTTGGAGTTCACAGAAACCTCTTAAAAACTCACCCAATGGCAGGTGCAGAGTAAAATAAATGTTGCTTCACCAGCTGGGTAAGTGTCCAGCCTCCTCAGGGGTATCTGGGGACCATCTGACTTCCTGCCACTCACAGGGTGGAGATAAACAGAGCATTATTACCATAATAAGGGACGTGAGGAGCAGGGTTGGGCTGGGCTTTGATAATCTGGAGTGGTGTGATTAGGGTAGCTTTGATGTTGATAAGCCGTTTCAAGGGCCTTTCATCCTGGTGCTCCTGCCCTTGGAATACTGGGCTCCAGTAAGCCAGTGTAAATCATTACCTAGCCCTCCAGTGCAAAAGTGAGACTCGTGGAGAGCAGGCTGGCATGGCAGCCTGCCTGGGGAGGCATGGGGAGCGGCAAGACCAGGCCAACTGCAGATGCATTTCCTCCCCATGCCAGGAAAGGTTTTAATTCAAAAACAAATGTATTTATCACTTCCAGCCACTCCGCAGGGCAGGGCATCCTGCCTTGGGTGGAGCGTCAGTGTGCAGTGGGAACAATGGCAGGCAGCCAACGGAAACTTCACGTTTCACCAAGGTTCCTGCCACTTCACAGTGGTTATAAAGACCAGCATCACATCAGCGGAGACAGTCCAACCTCCCGGCCAGCCCTAACGACACAGGCGCCAAGCGAGGGCCGGGTCCTCCAAGCCCCAGCCAAGCAACCTTGGCCCCAGTGGGCTGGATGGTGGGATGCATTGAACCGTCCTCACTTGGTGACTAAGGCTCTTTCTAACCCTGGAATGTGGGCCAAGGGAAAAGTCTACCATGAGCAGCAAAGGGTGATTTGTCTGTGAATCTCCATGACACATGCCCCACAGGATGTTTAATGAGCTAGAGGATTATGCTGCTCTGGGAAGCTCATCTTTGCCTAGTGGTCCAAGGGCCTTGCTGGACATTTTCCAGAGAGGAGGAAGGAATTGCAGGCAGCTGTGGTTTTCCAGCTCACCTGGCCCCAGGCTGTTGAGTATTCCTTCTTCTCCAATTTAGGCTTCAGCACTGCTGGAGTCCTTTCAAAAACACCCTGGATCTTGTCACCCTCCAACTGAAAGATCTCCCAGAAGAAGATCACATCCATATGGATGCCTTCCCAGGTTCTTCCTGGCTCTTCCAGCCCCTGTCTGTTTAGTCTCATCCCTCAACCCTTTACGCACAGGCCCACAACTCCCCCAGCAAGCCCTGTGCTTTCGCACCACCTCAGGTATCCTTCCTACCGTGTCCACCTTCTACTCATATTTCAGGGCCCAGCTGAAATATTACCTTCTAGGTGAAGACTCTCCTGCCCTTTCTACCCACATCCACAGGGAACTTGAATGTCTTCCTCCCATGGGCTTGCAGAGCTTTCTGTACATACGTTTCCTTCCTACAACACTGAACCACACCGTAGCCAACTTATTTAATTCTATGTTAGTCTCTCTGACCTGATTATTAGCTCAGTGGAGTAAGGGTTCCCTTTAACTCATCTATCCATTCTCAGTAACTAGTACAGGCCCTGGCACATAGTAAGTGCTCAATAAATGGGAAGAATAAATGAACGAACGTCTAAAATCTTCCCCTTCCTTAGAGAATCTCCTCTTTGTAGGTGGAAGTAATGCAATTATGTGCCTTCAGGAGCCAAAGAACATTCATCTGTGGGAAACTGCTCTGGACAAAATCTGCCCTCCCACCTTCTCCCAGAGAAACCCCAAGGCAAAGAAGGCAATGTGCAAACTAACCATTTCCAGACAAGTGAATTTTCAGATGCTAACAATTTTCTTGTGTGTTAGAGCAAAGCCAAACCACATACAGAAGTGAAACTTCTCAACATCCCACACCCAAGCATTTAGTTTATTACTCGGTTGGAATTTCGATGACTATAGCCATGTGGATAAAGATGCTCCCTGCAAGAACAGAAAGATTCTGGTGGTTCTTTGATGTGTAATCTTTGGCCTTTATCTTCTGGATGCGTTGTACCATACAAGATGATAAAATGGTACAACATCCTTGGTTTAAGACCTAGGCCGTACTATCCCTATAGAATTCTGAACCTTAAGTGTCAGCCCTGTTACTCCTTTTGGATTCGTTTTCTTCAAAAGGATGATGATGATGATGAAGATGATGATGATGAAGATGATGATGATCTTTGTTGAGAACACTGCTATTGCAAATCACACCTCTTCCAGATTTTAATTAATTTTAATGAAATTAAATTTATCTAAATATCTTATTTCACCTAATATATTCAAAATATTAATCTATTTGGAATATTCCAAATATTCCAACTTCCATAAAGATAGAAGTAATCTCATTGGTAAGAATCACTCTATCTCATCGGCTCTACCCTTGGCAAAAAGGGCAAAAATTTAAACACTTTGCCCTACTCTCAGTACCGCTGAGCATTTCCTCCCCGACTCTGTTGCCCAGACCAGGTGGAAAGGAAACCAAATATCCATTCATCTCTAACAACTCCAGTCTCATTTCCAGGAAAAGGAGGTCATAGCTCTCCCCAGCAGAAAGAAACAGACTCCCCTATCTGAAGAGCCTGGGCCCGCCTGCCCGTCCTGCCCCTCCAGCCTATTCCTCCCCACTTCCCCACACTCCACTACAGCCATGCTGAACTTCATACAGCTCCCAAATACACTGCGCCCCACTGCCTCCTACACTCCTCACCATCTCACTCTTCATTTCACTCCTACGCATCATCTGGAGCTGATATCATCTCCTCTCAGAAACCTTTCCCCGGCTGCCAAGGCTGAGTTAAGGCCCTTTCAAACTGCTCCTAGCTCACCCTCTCCTTCCCTATCCCAACAGTAATCACACTGCTTCACGATCATCAAGGACTTATCTTTCTCACCCTCTAGAGAAGTATGGTTAATAGTATAGTTCCAGCCATATGTTAATTTTGAATTTTCTAGTAGTCTCATTAAAGAAGAAAAAAACAGATGAATTATTATTATTATTATTCTGTGGCGGAGTTTTGCTCTTCTTACCCAGGATGGAGTGCAGTGGTATGATTTCAGCTCACCACAACCTCCACCGTGTTCAAGCAATTCTGTCTCAGCTTCCTGAGTAGCTGGGATTACAGGCATCCGCCAGCTACCACACCCAGCTAATTTTGTATTTTTAGTAGAGATGGGTTTCTCCATGTTGGTCAGGCTGGTCTCAAACTCCCATCCTCAAGTGACCTGCTCTCCTTAGCCTCCCAAAGTGCTGAGATTACAGTGTGAGCCACCTCGCCCAGCCTGAAATCAATTTTAATAATACAGTTTATTTAATCTAGCATATCCAAAATATTATTTCAACATGTAATATAAAACAATTTCTCATGAGATATTATACGTGCTTTTCCCCATACTAGGTCCTTGATATCCAGTGTGTATTTTACCCTTACTGAACATCTCCATTTGGACTAAGTACATTTGAAGTGCTCCATAGCCACGTGTAGCTGGTGGCTACCATACTACACAACAAGGTCTGAGGTGAAATTCCCCGAAGTCAGGGCCTGGGCTCACCCTCTCACACTAGTGTATCTTGCACCTTGCTTGGCACAAGAGCAACAATGTGAAACAGCATCTATGAATGACGTTACACCCAAAGTGTAGGAGGTCAACAAGCACAGCCCTGTGGCCCAGAAAAGTGGGTGTCTGTAACATAAGCTATGAACACTATGGTTTCAGCTAAAATTTCACTGTTCCAGCCAAACTGTCTAAATAAAAGCAAGTTGGCCATGCACGGGCTGATCACATTTGTATTTCATTTTTAAAATCTGTTTTATTTTTTAGAAACAGGGTCTTGCTCTGTCATCCAGGCTGGAGTATAGTGGCACAATCTCAGCTCACTGTGGCCTCCAACTTCTAGGCTCAAGCGATCCTTCACCTCAGCCTCCCAAGTAGCTGGGATTACAGGCATGCACAACCACCCCTGACTACTTTTTGCATTTTTTGTAGAGATGGGGTTTTACCACGTTGCCCAGGCTGATCTCCAACTCCTGGGCTCAAGGGCTTGGCCCACCTTAACCTCCCAAAGTGCTGGAATTACAGTCACAAAAACCTGGCCCCACATTCACATTTCAAGCGTTACTCAAAATGGCAGAAATAACCAGTCCAACAAAGCAAACTGGACATTTGGAATTCAGCGAAATGTAACTGAACCTTCATATAGGCTGGAAACCAAAATGAAAATGCAGCATCTCCAGGCAATTTCCTTGAAACGGATCAACTTGAAACATTCTCTATCAAAGGATGGGAAGACAGGAGAGGAGCCAAAGAAGGAAGGGTGGGTGTGGAATTATGAGTTGCACTATTCTTTGTATCAAAATTCCTAGAGTTTTTATCCTAAAAGCTGTTACTTTTAAAGATGCTTCTTAGAAACAGCAAAGCAGTAGAGCCAGGAAAAACAATGATATTAGCCACTAACTCCAGAGACACAACCTCCGGGAAATGCCTCAAGGACATGTGAGGAGTGAACACTGCAGAGCTCAGGGAATGAATGGATGGACTGTGTTTTCTCGGTCTAGTCAGATAGTTCTAGATTCCTAGATGTACAGATCACAAGGACTTTTTTTTTTTTTTTTTTAAATAAGAGTCTTGCTCTGTCACTTAGGCTGGAGTACAGTGACACGATCTCAGTTCACAACCTCTGCCTCCCGGTTCAAGTGATTCTCCTGCCTCTGCCTCCTGAGTAGCTAGGACTACAGGCTTTCCACCATGCCCATCTAATTTTTGTATTTTAGGTAGAGATGGGGTTTCACCATGTTGGCCAGGATGGTCTTGAACTCCTGACCTCAGGCAATCCGCCCGCCTTGGCCTCCCAAAGTGCTGGGATTACAGGCATGAGCCATCATGCCTGGCCCCAAGGACTTCTGATGGAACAGTTGCTACACCAGCAGTTCTTAAGCTTTAGCGGGTACCAGAAGCACCTAGGGGCCTGGTAAAAATCCAGATTGCTGGACTTCACCCTTCAAAGAGTCTGATCGAGTTGGTCTGAGATGAGTTCCAGGAATACGTGTTCTTACCTGTCAAGTATCTTAGGTGATTCTGATAGGAAGTTCCACAGTTTTTTTTAAAAAAACAACCCTAAACAATGGTAGTTACGATCTGCTACCCATCATCAGTTTGCTTTTCTCTCGCCTTCCTTTCTAAATGCCCTCAGAGCTACCATACCCTGTAGGCCACAGGCATGTTTGTGCAGTTGATGTGCTATATAATAGCTCCCAGCTGAGAAGGCAAGTGGAGGCCAGGTTCCAGGTGTCTGGTGGCATGGAGCTGTGTCTACCCAGAGTAATGAACTTTCTTTCTTTGTACAGAGGTGCTTCCAGCTTGCAAGCCTTGTGCTCTAGGGGTGCTTTCAGCCCAGAGGGCTGCTTTTTTTCTGATTTATACAAAGTCCCTATATAAGTCAGTAGTAGCCCTGAACCCGCTGTTTAATTCTTGGCCACCTTATCTTCCCCAGACCTCAACAGCGAGCACCCTCTACCAATCCTTGCTCCAGAAATGGGTTGAGTAGCTCATTATTTTCCTTAACCATCAGCTGGTCAACTGCCATCAGGTCTTCCTGATCACCTAGGACGCTCCTGACCACAGTAGACCTCCCAGTGGGTCAGTCCTCCCTGGGCAAGCCTGGTCAGTGCCTCTGTGGGAATGAGGGACACTGCCTTGCTGAGTCTCTTTGCTGGAAAGTCTCAGCCCTGCTGATTTCATGTACTCATTGCAGGTTTCTACTGGGCCTGATTATTATTTAAAGGGAAAGACAGCACCAAGGGAATACCTTGTGAACAAGTCTCCGGGTTAAGAGCTTACCAAGGCGGCGGACTGCTGAGTGGGACAAATGCGCAAGTGACTGACTCTGTTTTCACAAATTCCCTTCTCTTTCTCTTCTCCCCAGCTTTTTCAATTTTCTGAACTGGATGAATACTTCATGACACTGCGTGTCAGAGCAGACAAAGAACTAATAAAAGGGTCATTGGACCTGCTCTGAATCTCAGATGCATCCCTCATGAAGTGAAAAAAAAATTCCCCTGAGCTGCTAAGAGCAAGGAAACACAATCTAGGCTGAGCTGGAAACTCTAGATCTGCTACAACCTGGTTAATTGATACTGGGCAGAGAAAGTAAGTAAAGAATAGATAAGAATTTGCAGCTGTAAAAAAAAAATCTGAAAGGGACAGAGCAGCTTAGTAAAAAGACAGCTTAAATCTAAAACTACCTCCATTCATTCATGGAACAGCAATGAGGCACTTTTTCCTACTGTGTTACAAGCACTGACTGTCTTAGGTCCAGGAAGACACAGGTCTCTCAAAGTGCTTACTCCTGGATTAGCAGGTTTATATTTGTAGTTATAAACAAATAATTACAATAAAATGTACCAAGTAGCAAGAAAGAGAAAGGCACAAAGCACTATGGGTGCACCCAGGGCAGGAAGGTCCTGGGGGGTGATGGGTGGCTCCCTGAGTGCAGCATGGGGAACAGCAGAGGAAACAGCATGTGAGAAGGCAGAGGGGCCAACCAGCTTGACGAGGAAGGTGAATCACAAGCATTCCTGCCTTGCTGAAGCACTGGCGTGAAGGAAGGGAAAGGTGGGACACAGGGCTGGGAAGGGGGCTGAGGCCAGTTGCAAGGGACCTTTGAATCATGTGCTGAAGTACCTGGAATTTCTTCATGAGGAATCATCGAAGACTTCATCAAGTAAGGGAGTAACTGAGATCAAACCTGTGGTTTAAACAAAAGACAAAAAAAAAAACCACCTGTCATTTTTGTTAGCTTTCCTTTTGTTCAGTTAAATAAACTAGTTTTGAAAAGCAATTTGTGAGCATAGTAACAAAATTCAAATACTGCCTAAATGCGGTAAGAAGGATAAGCCTCCTTTCTACCTTCGACTACCAAGCTCCCAGTCTTCCCTTCCCAGAAGCAATCTTTCTTTCTAGGTTTACATATATCCAACCAGAAGCATCATCGGCAGGCATATATATTTATCCACAAAGGGCCATAGCATATTATTATGCAGGTTGTACACTGCATGAGGCCACGAGTCAAGGGGACTAGAGGAAGTTAAAATCCATTGCACACTTGCTTCATTGGCATGGGGCAGCATATACCAGAGAGGACATTTTTCCTAATTTGTTCAAAGGTACTACTTGGTATAGGTGTGTGTGTGTATATAAATACATATAAGCTTGGGGCCGGGCACATTGGCTTATGCCTATAATCCCAGCACTTTGGGAGGCCAAGGCAGATGGATCACCTGAGGTCAGGAGTTCAAGACCAGCCTGGCCAACATGGTGAAACCCTGTCTCTACCAAAAATACAAAAATAAGCTGGGCGTGGTGATGCACACCTATAGTCCCAGGTAATTGGGAGGCTGAGACAGGAGAATTGCTTGAACCTGCAGTGAGCCAAGATCACACCGATGTACTCCAGCGTGGGCGACAATAAAAAGAAAAAACAACCAGAAAACAAAGATACTACATAGGCTAGTTGAAGCCATTTATGTACATTACACACATGCACATGTACACATAGGCACTCACCCATTTTCATAGCTTTTTATTTATATAAAAGGGAATATATTCTATATTCATTGTATAATACCTTTGTTTTATAAAGTATCATAGACATCATTCACATGGGCACAAGAAGATCTACCTAATTTTCTTTCATGGCCACTTGGCTTTTTTTTTTAGACAGAGTCTTGCTCTGTTGTTCAGGCTGGAGTGCAGTGGTGTGATCTCAGCTCTGTCACCCAGGCTGGAGTGCAGTGACATGATCTTAGCTCACTGCAACCTCCGCCTCCTGGGGGCGATTCTCCTATCTCAGCCTCCAAAGCAGCTGGGAATACAAGTGTGCACCACCATGTCCTGCTGATTTTTGTATTTTTAGTAGAAACAGGGTTTCACCATGTTGGCCAGGATGGCCTCGGTCTCTTGACCTCGTGACCTGCCTGCCTCGGCCTCCCAAAGTGCTGAGATTACAGGCAGCACTGCACCTGGCCACTTGGCTTTTTAGCATTTAGGGTCACAAAGTGAAAGACAAGTTGTCTTTCATTGTTACAAGTGAAAGAAAACTCACTTCACACCAGCTAAAACCCAAACCAAATGTGAATTACCCCAGTGTTCACATGCCACCCAGCTTCACATCAGTAGGCTATGCTTCCATGAGTGTCTCCATCTTTAGGCCTCCCAGAAGCTCCAGTATTTACCCAGGGGGCTCCAACTGTTTCAAGCCTCATATTCTTTCTGATTCATTGTAATTAGACAACATGCCATTGTATATGAAACAGTTACTGTGGCCAGGGAAATATGATGAACTGAGTGACTTCCACCAGCTGGTGTCCACCCCTGGAGATAAGAGTGAGGTCAACACCAACCAACCCTTAGGAGGGGCAAGAGGGAATGGATGCTAGGGCAGAAACCAGTAGATGACCTCTGCAAATTTCATTATCCAACTCAATAGGTCCTTTACCTTGTTTCCAATCTCACCATTATAAACGAAGCCATAATTAACATCCTTATGCATACATCTTTTCAGGCACAAGAATATCTGTAAAATAATTTCCTAGAAGTAGAACTTTGAGTCAAAGGTGCCTGTACTTGTTCCTTTGACAGACACCACTATATCACCTTTCGAAGAGGCGGCACTGATTCATTCCCACAACATCTGTGAGATTGCTTCTGCACATCACTGGCTGTGTGTCGTCAACTTTCTCAGACCTGTACTTTCAAAGTTCAGTTTAACAATAGTGTGGTTGATGGATAGGAAGGGGAATGCGAATGGAGGTAAGAAAAGTAGCCATGTAATTACAATAATGAAAGAGACGGGAAGAACCTGAACTAAGGCAGCTGCCATGCATTTAAAAAATAGAGGCAGAATCAAGACATGCATGTTCTCAGCACAATGTGGCAATGGAAAACATAGCTATTTTTCTGAAAATTTTGCACTGAAAAGGCTTCATTATGATCTTTTTAAATAAAAGGAAGACAAAGAAAAGATTCTGCTATAAAGACTTTTCCAGTTGGAAATAAAAAATGAACATGCAAAGACCTTAACAGATCCTACACAGAGAGCTTGAGTTAAACACACTCAGATCTCAAAAAGAAACCTAGAAATGGAATAATGTGTTATCAGAGCACACAGTAAATGTGTTATTAGAAGCACACTTTGCAATTCTAGACAGTCCACAGTATAGAACAACATGGCAATGATAGTCTTATTAAAGTGGAATGAGGCACTGGACCCTAAGGACCAGTGTTCCACTGGTGAAAAATCCTCTCTCCCTGGATCCTTCCCCTCGGATCCTACAGGCCAGAGCATTCTCAGCTCTGACACCCACTTTGCCAAGTACACTGTAGGCATTGTAGCTAATCCTAGCTAAAATAGTGTAAGATCTGTCTCTGGCACATTTCTCTCATTTAAAAATGATATTCCTGATTATTTATAACATCATCTGGTGGATTTATACAGAATGTCTTATAAGGTATTGTATAGGACCCTCCCTGCTACTGATCTACATAAATCCCTCCACATTGCTCACATTTCTCGGAATAGCTGTAAATTGTTTCTCCACTGGCTGTAACGACAACCGGGAAAAGAAATATTTCTTCTTCCAAGTCTCCTGACATTGTAACTAGTTCCCAATCTTTTCTCATTATCTGCACCAACCATTCCAAGATCCTTCTTTCCTATAAATTCTTAAAGGAGAAAACAAAAAGGAGATTAATTTTTAAATAGCTACAAAAGAAAAAAAAACAAATACATGAATATTTCTGGGAGGTTTCATGTGTCCATCGGAAGGTCAGATGAACAAGGTGGGTGGGGTGGTAGGTGAGGCCCAGGGTAGAACAATCCAGGCCACCTTACGCCACCTCCAGTAGAAGCCCTTGAAGGAGGCACTGAGAGGGTTGCAGACCTGAACATCAGAGCTGGGGAAGTTTATCAGGCACCCCAAAGCCACCTGGGCACCAGCAGGACCCACGCTCTCAGAACACTGCCGCATACTGAGCCCAGCTGATCGCAGCCCGGCCTGCACAGCAGCCACCTGTCCTCTGCTCAGCACAGCTCTCCAGCAAAGGGTCTGGGCAGAAGGCTTTGCACTTGTGTGCGCGATGCTCATTTCTTCAGCCAGAAAAATCTTTCTGAGCTTTGTTGATGGCATCAGTATCTCCCTCCATTGCACTTATTTTCCAATATAAACAAATAATTGGTGCTTCTGTAACAGGATGCCAAGGAGCCCAGATTCTCCTGGGCCCTCAAATCCAGGCTGGCCCAGGACCTTCAGTTTAGCTTTGAGCCCTGGGTCCAGTCGTGCGCACTGGCTGATCAAGGGCCAGCAGTCCATGGCAGAAGGAGGATCTCAAGGCAGCTCTCCCGCAGAGACCTTGTTACAGCCATGCTGAAAAGCCAGCCTGAGACGGCTGTGTGGAAATCTCCCTGGCCACTTCCATCTCTGTCCTGACATTCTTCAAGGCCAGGGAAAGACCTGCCTGCTCTGGGAAGCCTCTCTTGACCACCCCAACAGGAGGCTTTCACTTCGATTGCCCTTCAGTCACTGCTGTGACTGTTACTGCGGACGTGGTCTCCTCAGCAAGAGCATAAGGCACTCAGCCTCTTGGTCTCTTCTCGCATGAAGCATGGTGCTGGCACATGGGACGTACCAGGGCTGTTGAATCAAGAGAGACCATGCTGTTCTGTCCTCCCCTAAACACCACAGTCCAATTTCAGAAAGAACACAATGCTTCGTGTAGCTGATCACAGGTAGCTGAGTGCCCAGAGGATGGTAAAATAATTTCCAATAAGTATGGACTTCCAGTAATGATGGACTTATTTCATCTCTGAATATGAGCAAGTCCTGCTTTCTCAGTCTCCCTCCCTCCTTTCACCCTCAGCCTTGCTCGTGCCTACCTACCTCATCACAGCATCACCAAGACCTCACAGCCATGAGGCCCCTGAAGGCTGCCCTTCGTTCTGGGAAAGGGGCATACATTTTTTTTTTTTTAGATCAAGTCATGCCCTGTTACCCAAGCTAGCGTGCAGTGGTATGCTCTCGGCTCACTGCAATCTCTGCCTCAGCCTCCTGAGCTGGGATTACAGGTGAGCACCATCACACCCGGCAAGTTTTGTATTTTTAGCAGAGACAGGGTTTCACCATGTTGGCCAGGCTGGTCTCAAAATCCTGACCTAAGGCGATCCACCCGCCTTGGCTTCCCAAAGTGCTGGGATTATAGGTGTGAGTCACCATGCCTGGTCAATTCTTTTTTCCAAGGTAAACCCTCATTAGAAAAACAAATGTCTCGTCTATTAATATTATGACCTTTCACAGTATAACTTTGATATATTTTTATGCTTTAAAAACTTCTTCCCATCAAGGACGAAGAAGAGGTGGAGCAAAATGAATGAAGAGATGGATAGTTCTGTCGCAAACAGGCTAGTTACTCCCTCTCAGAAACCACTGAAGGGGCCTGAAAGGGCTGAAAGAGTGAATGAACCTCCCTAAAGTACAAGGTCACCCAGAAGGCAGTGGCCATAGGCAAGCCACTCGTAAGGGCCTGGCACTGGACACCTGGCCCTGAGCCCACGCAGGGCAGGAGCTGGAGGGATCCTCTCCCCCTGGGTATCAAGATAGGAGCCGATTTGTAGGCAGCCACTTGGGCTATGTTGGGCCACTGAGTACTTGTCTCACCCATATGTTTTCCCTTTCCTTACAAAGCTGTTTCCTC